AGAAGGAGAGATGAGGTGCTTAGGGCCAGGGTTTAGTGGTGGGATGGCAGGGTTAGGGGAACGGTTGGACTTGATGATCTTAAAGGGCTTTTCCAACCTAGACAATTCTATGATTCTATGGGAGAAGCGTGGTTTCACGTGTTCAGGGGAGTATCTAAGGGGCTTCACGCCAAGGAGGTCAAGCAGCACGTTCAGCTACCGAGAGCTGAGCAGAGCCCTTGCAGACAGGGTGCGACGCTGCTGACCAGCTCCCAGGCACACACGCACGCCATGTGGATGGGGGGATAGGAGGTGGGGAAACCCAACCCAGGCACAGACAGCGCAAAGGGCTGACCCGATGATGTTAATCCCTGTGTGGGTTGGGATCAGACCCAAAATGAGCCTCAGACAAGTCGCTGGCAACACCAGTAGTGAATGCTCCGCTGCGAACCCAGCCCTGCAGAGCCCATCGCTTGGGCTTCAGTGCTGCCCCAGCCCATCGAGTGGCTGCAGCGTTCGGCTATATAACCCCGAGATTCGGTCTCAATTTCAGTCTGTGGCCAGTTATTGCTCTGCTTGGCAATAAGTCACCACGTCTTTTCCAAAATCCACATCCCTACAACAGCTGTGGCTCTAACACTGAACTTGGCGGGGCTGGTTGTAAACCACATCCTCCTACCTACTCCCATCCACACAGATTCCTACTCAAACAGTTGGGGGGGGGAAAAAAAAAAGAAAAAGAACTCAGAGCTATTGATTCAAAAAATTTGCCTTTCCTCACGAGAGCCCCAGAGGTGGCTCACCGCAGCCAGGTGGCAGCGGAGCAGGCACAGGGAGGTTTTAAATCAAGGCGAAAGGCAGAAGCTCCCAATTTACTTTCTTAAAATGAAATGCGCAAGCTAAAAAGCCATGAATAAGCACTACTGAACACTGCAGCCGCCAAAAAGAGATTTTTAAGCTATTGACAAGATAAAGGGGTGGGGGGCAAGAGACTGTATTTTCATTGTGTTCATATGGTAATTTAAATCATGCTAGGGCTCAGAGCATACGGTGTAATTGTAAGTCAGCGAGGGTTTGAATGCCATCACTGCTGTGCAAATAACATCATCAGCTCATCAGCTGTGTCAGTAACATTGCAATTATGTAAGCAGCTATTATTTCCACCCCTGATCTGCCATATTAGAACTTATTTTGGGGGCTGGAGCTGACAGGTATTCTATAAATATGAAAAGCACACAACAGCAGCCGAGCGGCGGCGGGCAGGCAGGAACAGCATTCTGGTGGGGCTTTCTGGTGGCATCACCGGAGGGTCCTAGAGGAGCTGCTGTAAAAATCGTTGCTTTTCCAGCGCTCCCTTTGCCCTCACCCCACCCATCACCCAGGACCCCTTTCCCTTCCTCTTTGTGCTCACCCGAAAACAAGCACTGCCCCCAAAATAGAAAAGATTACTTTTAACCGCAGAAAGTTAAGGGGACGTTTTAATTTGGTCTGCTGCAGAAGAGTCTTGGGGGTTTGGTGGTTGTTTTTACAACGGCTAAGCCCCTGGACTGGAGCTTGGCACCCAGTGATTCATCTTTCTGAGTCTTCCCATGTGCTTTTGGCCAGATCAACGATTTCCTAAGCTTTTATTTCAGTTTCTTAAAAATGAGGCGAGCATAATGATTCCCTTCCCTAATCCTCTGGGTGTTTATATGGCGAGCACGTCACAGCAGAGCCGGCGAGGCTGCCTCCGGAGAGCCCCAACCTCCCCGTCCTCTGTCGCAATGCATCTCTCGCCAGCAGAAGAGCAAAACCCCACCAGCAGGTGCCCACCAAGGTTCACCAGCACGGTAGAAAACTCTTTTCCACGGCACCACGCACAGTGCTAGGCAAAGCTCATCTGCTAGGAACATCACCCCTGCAAGCTTCATGGGAGGAGGAGACTGAGTTCCCCTCCCAAACACATTCCTCGTGCCCTCGGCACCCCAGGGAGGCAGAAGCAACGGTCCCTACGCTGTTCTGCTGGCCTCCCTTCAATCCCTATTGCACACGCACAGCCCTCACCAGCCCAAACCATGACCAGAGCGCACGGCACGGCTTCGGGTTCAGGGCTGAGGAGCACTTCAGTAACAGCTCCATATAGGAATAAATACCCTAGGAAGCCACGCTCAAATTAATTCACAGTCAGCTGGTCGGTGTTGTGCCTAAAGAAGCAATGCTCCACTGAATGCGCGTCACGATGATAGATTAGGCCTTTTTTTTTTTTTTTTCCCCCTTTTTAATATTTCAGCTTAAAACGCAATTGGAAGATTGATTCTTTAGATCTTCACGTTATATAGGGTCTAGGTCTTGAGTATAACTCAGTGTGAAGGGAGATGATTCTCATCTTCACCTTACAGAAACGCTGCCTATCGCAAAAGCTGACAAAGGGTATGAATAAAGGTAAGGTATGGGGAGAGCACGCCATAAAATTATGAATGCCTGGTATTTACAGAATGCCTGTACACAGTACTATTAATCTATATTTTTGGTTGGTTTGAAATCGCTTCTGCAAGGAAGATGTGTCGCTCTGAATGTACTCTTTATTAGAATAATTACGTTTTTATTTGGGGGGGGACACTGAGGTCATCTATTCTCCTACTGTATTCTCTAGTGTATTATATTCATGGGAAAACATATTTATTCAGAACTTCATTTTGATTTAATAGAAAAATGGTTCTTGCCACAGCCATGTGGAATACTCATTTTTCTCCATGTGTTGATTTTTGGCATATAAATGCCACAAGCCTCTGTTCTCTTTCCTTATCGAGAAAAACTTGCCGGAGATTAATTTCCTCATCATCCCTTCCTTTTAAAGTGGCTGTTTTTCAATGCCATTTAAAGACAGAGTTGTGATAAATTCCCATTTTCAATGTACAGATTTCAATGAAAGAGTCTATTCCACGGCAGTAAAGTAATTGAATCCAAATGGAAAGGGACAAAAAAAATAAATTATGAAATCAGGTACTGCTACTCCAGCCAGCTGTATGCAAAGTGCCTTCATGTATTTTTCTTTCTAATGACAATTAGTTTTGAAATAAACTAATTGCAAAAGTTTTTCAAGTTTTTATGGAAGGGAAGGGGCATGCTTCTGACACCACTTCTTTCTAATTGCAGATTGGACTAATTGAAGACTACTTATACCAAGCAGAAGACAATTACTTAAAGAACAAAAGGCTGAGAACAGCTAGGATGGAAAAAAGGAAAATGAAGAGGACTCAAAGTACACAGCACTCTTACGGCCTAGGAGATACCAACCTGTCCGTTACCAGCCCCAAAGGCATGGCCACACAGTGAACAAGCCAATTAACTCTGTAGATATTTGATAGATAGGTCAAAACCCCCCACCTTTCCACTTAACGAGCCTTCCCCTCACGATGGGGTATCTTTAGCAAGACACTACTGCACTTCATTAGTCTTAACTGGCTGGAATAAATGTCCGTGAAAGGCTTGTTGTACATTGTCTTGTTTATTTAAACAGTAACACCCAGCCAAAAAGGGACCTGTATTTTCTGCTCTGAGAATATTCTGCATCCCAACTCTATAAAATCCTCCTGGTTTGATTATCGCCCAAGAAGCACTGAAAACAGAGATGCCTCCATCCTCAGCGAAGAGGAATTTGGCCTCACCTTGCCTTCTTTCCAGGTTAATGCCTTACTCTACAGGTATCAGTACATCCTATAGGCAAAAAGCAGCATCTGGCACCTTCGGGCTGCAGCAACTACAAGTGCAAGAAACACGGCGCTACAAGAAGAGAAAGGGAAAAAAGGAGCCCAGCTCTTGCCCTGCGGTTAAGAATGTGAAGCCCTTCACTCTCCTCTGGGCCCTAAGGATGATTTTTCCTGGTTGAGGATCAGCGACATGTCCTGCACCCCCACAGTGGCAGCCCATTGTGTAGGCACATCTTACGTCCATCTTACATTGGGGGTTGGACTAGATGACCTCTAGGGGTCCTTTCCAACCCAAAAGATTCTGTGATCCCTTTGGTCTTCAAGGGAGCCCAGGTTCCCAAATCCCCCGAGACCTGTCATCAGTGAGCAAAGCAACACACCGACTTCGCAACGGCGGTCACCTCATCCGGCGACGCTTGCCAGGCACCCCCGGCTGATGCGCACGGCCTCTTTCAAGGCTGGCATTTCCTTCCCGTTCACTGTCTTTACTTTGTAAGACTATATTACCTCACCCTAGAAAAACAGTATTCAGCTTGTCACATTTTCTCATTAAAGGGCGACTTTAAAACAAAAAAGATAGAAAGGAAAAATCCACACACACCCCCCAGCCTTAAGATTTCATTAAAAATCCTGGACCTCAAAGGCATTTAGCCACTTAATTCCCATTATCTGTGTATCACAGATAGGAGTCTAAATCCTGCAGATTTTTAGCTGCTATAGAGCATCTTCCTAGGCTCTCATAAAAGATTTTTGAAAACTAAGAAAGAACTGGCGAAAGCTTTGATGGTCCTTTGTTCACTGTTAACAGAATCACTATAAAGAAATCTTTTTGAGAAAACCTGAGCTAGCTTGAGCTCCTTAAACATGTGGGACAGAAAAACGAAGAATTATTGCCCTTTGGAGACGGCATTATTTTGCTATGGAGTTGGTTTTGTCAGGTGAAGTTTTATGACACATAGTGGCAATCATCCATCTCTGATGAGCAGACACACACTAAATCAGAAAGACTGCTCCCCACGGATCATCAAGTCACAGTCAACACACAGTTTGGTAAATCATGAGGCTCTTAAGCAAATACTCTTAATTTCATGCAAGCTGGCTTACAATTCTGCCATGTTTAATGCAAAATCAGGTATTTATTTACCTAGAATGCCAAAAAAGAATAAAGTGCACTGAACGCAGGTGATCTTTGGGAACAAAAAAGCAACATTGGTGGTGAAAAATTGTCGTCCGCGCAACGTGAACAAGTTGATCCGAGCGCACTGAGAAAGAGGTGCCAGGCTCATCGCGGAGCTTTGCGAGAGACCTGGAGCCGAGACAAGATGTGACATTTCGCTTCTCCAATATCAGGTAGGGCGGAAAACCTGTCTTACGCTGCAGATCAATACATCACGGGGGGAGAGAGAGAGAGAGAGACCATAGCCCAAATCAATCTGCAAGGTGTCGGAAGCATCTTGGCCAACCCGTGGCTACAGTGCCCTTTCGCCTCCAGGAAGCCACGGACCGAAGCAGTTGTCAGGAGATGAAGTCAGCGATGAGTCAAGGCAAAGCAAACATGAAAGGAGCCTCTGTCGTAGAGAGGGGCCTTGCTGTTTTCCCAAAATAACCATCTGTAAGGCACAGATTCCCAGGCCCAAATCTGCACATCTGCATAGTATTTTACTCAGGACTTGCTGAGAGTCAACTTTACCCCACGAATATAACCACGTTTCAGCTGGACAGCGGGCAGGGGGCGATTTCTGATGCTTGCTGCATGCAGTATAGCTTCTAAAGTATGAGATTTGCTAGGATCACCTGCAAAATTAAACCACATAATAATTAACTTGCCTTTTGTAGAAATTGCAGGCTGTATTACAATGATCCTCTGGCCTCTTAACTGGTGATTTCTGTAGGGTGAGGACGTATACCACAGCTCCTCTCATTCACAAATCATTATTCCAAGTTGGACTTCATCGCTCATCCTCCTTTTTGTTAAGAGCACATTAAAACCAGTCCGGCCCATGGCTGCTGAGGCTATTTTAGTCTCGTACACAAGGACACATCTGAGACCATTCCCCAAGAGTTCCACTTTCAGGTCACTTCTCTTTCAAAGACTGGTTTCCAAATGAATGATGGGGGGCTGTTTCCTTCCATCACAGATTTTTTTTTTTTTTTGGTCACAAAAATGATTTATCTGTTGACAGCTAGGTTCACTGGCCCCAGGCAACTGATGTCAGTTGAAACCGCTCAGTCGAAAGCAAAGAACACTATACCAATTTAAAGAAAGGAGGGGAAAAAAGAGAAAGGTATAAATACCCTCTCCCCTAAGACTGCCTCGTAACTCTTCTGCTTGCTGCTGCCATCCTTGCTACCTTGTAAATGCCAGAACGTCTGTGCTAAGCCCTGGAAGGGACAATGACCACAAGCAGAGTCAGCTCCTTCAGGTGTTAGGTACGTGCTTACTGTGCGGTTACAACACTAATTAGGACCCAGCGAGGTAGACTAGACAGCGTTTGATCTTCCCAAACACTTTTCACTTTCTCCATTTGTGAAGTCCCTTCTATCAAAGGCATACAAGAAAAACACTTGAAAAATACAAGTTTGTTATTCAAAGTGATGGAGAAGGGGTCTACAGCTAAAGTATTAAATTAAACACACCACCAGAGGAAGACGACAAAATGCGCTCACGACATCCAGCGGTAGGGACAAAAGGAGGACATGCACTCATGGCATCCCCTGCTGGGGGGCGCATCAGCAGTCTGCTGTTGCTATTTTCCCCTCTGTAGTCAACAAGAGGGACGGTACGCAAAAAATAATTCAGAGTACCTCGGTCACACTCCTGCCTCCGCCAGTATCTCCTTCCACCTCCGTCTCACATCAAAGGTGAAGGAGAAAAGAATGGTTACAAGTTTACCTTCAAATTTGACTACAGAGATTGCAAGCTCCTCAGAACTCCTGTCTTCCAGTCCACTCTAGGTGGCCTCTCGGGAATGAGCATATTAATACTTCTAAACAAAACACCACCTAAAAAGCAGTCTCATATTAAGAAATCTATAAACTAATCATGAGTTTATCAACACAGAAGACCTAGGAGGGATATCAGGCACCACACAGTACTTCCAAAACAAAGCGTATGGCTAAAAGTAGAAGACTCTATGTACATATACGCTGTCTTATGCTTACAACCGAGCCGAGAAGTCGTACAAATGCACCCTGTTGCTTATTCAGTGGCTAGGTGCAATCACACATCTTTAATCTCAAAACCCAGAACAACAGCAGGCCACAGTTTTACATTTTTCCGTTTGAACTACAATCATTGTCACAAGAGCCAATTTCACGTTGGGTTCTTTCTTGTTCTTGTTGCAATTCATCACGAGAAGACATGAGATCCAAGATACCTCGACAAGGCATAGTCCATGAATAATACAATGCATTACTTTGACCTTTTCAGTTTGCTTTGTAGTGTGATTGGCCAACCATTCCTGTCCTCCTCTGTTAACCACCCCATTAACCTGGGAGGAGAAGGTGGAACGGACAGACAATTAGCCAGCAGAATACTAAAAAGGTTAACACAGGTGCGCACGGCCCTGGCTTTCTTGAGCTTTAATGGGTATTAAGATTCTGCAATCTCTTTCCTTTCTCAAAGTCTGCAGGGAAAAAAAAAGAAGAAATCGCACAAGATGAACTTTGTTCTCATTTCAGATTATAATCATGTAGTTCCTTTCAGATGTCACACTTGGATGATTCTAGTTTATGCGTGAATAAACCGAGAAGAATGTTTATTTTTACCCCTCTCAATATGGAGAATATTCAATTAGAGCGCTGAACTTTTTCTTTGAAGCTGGTCATTCTTGAGTAAAGGAAAATTGGAGAAAGTAGAGGCGAAAAAGCTCCATACGGCAGCCGCCTTTAAAAAGGTCACACTCGCTACACTAACTACGCCAGCTGAGTCATTCCAGTCATTTCCTAGTCAAAGAGAGGAAACGGTGGAATTTTCCACCCTGAGGGCTGTCAGCTGCAGAAAGCTTTATCTGGGTGTTCACCAGCACTGGCGGATCTCGCGTGTCTCAGGCACGTGAAGCAGACGAGGCACGGGAGGTCTTGGTGGAGTTGCAGAAGTGCCTGGTGAAAGCAGCTGCCTCGTTTCTCTGGGGTTTCATACGCCTTGGTAAAATCTTGCCTTTCTTTTTTTTATGGAAGGATCACACATCACGAATGACACAAAGTTATGTAGGCAAGCATCCAAAAGTGTTTTCCAAAGCCTTGTAGTTATAAAAGACCTAACTTCAAGACTTCACATGAGCTTCTTTGCTCATAAATATTTTCTAACATTACTCTGGTGGTTCAGTTACCATGACCTGGGACGGTTTGTTTTTCAGACGCTGCCACATTCTTGTCTTGGTCCGAATGTGTTATTTTGAGTTGCTATTAACAGCAACGATATTAAATATTTACTTTAGATGGGAGAAGTGGGGGCAAAGAGAAAGGCACCTTTCTGCTACCCATTAGAATGCCAAATTTTACATTTATTACATGTATTGACCGCAGTAACGCAGAGTCTTTTTTATTATCTCCCAGTAATAATATAATCTCTATTTTGCTTAAGGTGAACGGTGATATTCGGACGGGAAGAATTATTAACAAAGA